ACACACTCTCTCTCTCTCTCTCTCTCTCTCAGGGCTAGGCTTCTCTGAGCTAGGTCCTGTACGCACACACTCAGGGCCTGGCTGACCATGTGCCCAGCCAGGAGAGATTTCAGGGGGTGCAGCACAGCTGGGTTTGGAGGAGGGATTGAAGAGAGAAGGGGGCAGCTTTACTAATACTGAGGGGATGTTTTTCTGTACATGGAGTGGGAGAAAACACTAAGGTGTTTAAGGGAGAAGCAGACAGGCGGATGACCAGACACCCCAAGATTAAGGCTTTGTCTTATAAATGCAACTATACCCCCGCCCCACCCCGCACAAAAAAAAGTGTCCTGATTCTTCACACTTACTATCTGGTCACCCTACCTAGGCTGCCAGGAGAAAAAATAAAATAAAAAGCCCAACGGCAGTACAGCTCCCCCTGGAAGTGGTGCTGAGGATGACACCCCACTCGCCCACCCCTAGAACCGGCCCCGCGCGTCCACCTCTAGAACCGACCCTGCATGTCCACCCCTAAAACCGGCCCCACGCACCCACCCCTGGAACCGGCCCTGCTGGCCCAACCCTAGATCCGTCCATCGCTGGCACAGGGAAGGCGGCGCCAATCGCTCAGACAGGGTGGGACTAAATGTTGAGTTGAGGGGCCTAAAGGCAAAGACAAGGAGCTTGTGCTGGAGCGGTGCTGGAGGGGCCTCAGTGGAACTAAGTGGTGGATGTGGCAGGAGAGATGAGCCCGAGGGCTGAGCCTAGCAGCCGTGCTTTGAATGGAGCTGAGGGGACAAAGCGGCTGGCATCAAGGCCGGACAGGAGGAGTTCACAGCAGTGGAGGTGTGAGATGATGGGGTGAACGAGAGCCTGGGGATATCAGGACAGACACGAGAGGCTGTATCTGTGATGTGTTATACATGCAGAAGCAGGAAGACTAGGGTGAGGTCAGGACACGGGGGCCTAGAGAGAGGCTGAGTCAGAGACAATGTCTAGATTGACTGGGCGGATGGAGGTGTTGTTAGGTTGGCCAACACTATTTCAAAAATACAGGACAGTTTTTTTTCTCCCCCCACAACCCTGACCTGGGCCTACATCATGGAGTGATTCTCCCAGCCAGGGCAAGGGAAATACCCCCCGGCCCCGCTCATAAGGAGACACCTTGAGCAGGGCTCAGACCCCAGGCCTCCCCATCTGCTCTGGGCTCCCTGCAGCCAGCTCAGGCCTCACACCCCACCTCAGGACCACAATCCCTGGCCCACAGAAGAGGCAGAGATCCTGGTACCTAGCTCGGGGCAGCCCAGTGTGTGGGATGGGAGGCAGGGCGGTAGGGAGAGCTTTCACAGCCCCCTGCCTCAGGAAGGGCTCGAGGTGCTATCCAAAGAGATGAAGAAACTAGGAAGTGGGGTGGGCTGTGAGGGGGCCAGAAGAGCTTTGAACTAATTGTCCTCCGGCCATCGACGAGAAGGAGATGTCATACAGGCTGAGATGTGGGATGGGATGCATGGGAACAGTCTTTAGCAGAGCAAGAGTTTGAGAGTCACTGGCATAGAGGTGGTATCTGATGGCGCGAGTGTCCATAAGAACAGTCATTGGGCCCCCAGGCATGCACAAGCTGTGCCCATGCAGACATGGTCCGTCTGACATTTGGGCAGTGCTGCTGGCTGCACTGTTGGGCACGCTCTTCCAGCATGGCCAGGGCTGCCACATGCCCGTCTGGTAGCATTGCCAATTGTCTAATGGCGCAAACCCAAAGACCATTGCCATGGCCCCTTCCCCGTCCCTTCTCTGAGGCCCTGCCCCCTGCTCACTCCATCCCCCTCCCTCTCTCACTCGCTCTCCCCCACCCTCACTCACTTTCACCAGGCAGGGGCAGGGGGTTGGGGTCCGGGAGGAGGTGTAGGGTGCAGGATCTGGGAGGGAGTTTGGATGCAGGGAGGTTTGGGGGGTCAGGCTCTGGGAGGGAGTTTGGGTGCAGGAGGGGGTGCGGGGTATGGGCTCTGGGCTGGGGCAGGGGTTTGGGGTGCAGGGAGGCAGGGGGTCAGTGTTTTCCTCGGACAGCTCCCAAAAGTGACTGGCACACCCCATGGCAGCTGCTGCTAGGCGCGGGGGCTGGAGGCACTGTGGGGGCAGCAGCCTCGATGGGGAGCTCAGAGCTTGGGCAGGGGCTCAGGGAGAGGGGCAGGGGGTGGAGGGGTGGTTCACACACTGCCCATGAGGAAGGTTCTTCTCTTCCCTGTCTCTCACCTCAGTTCTGGGTGGCCTCTGAGCACATCTACTGGATCAGGCCCCATGGGTGACCTAGATGCTCCTCCCCCCCAGTTTATGTGTCGCCGCGGGCACAGGTGGGAGATAGGTGTCCAAACATCTAGAGTGAGGCAGCAGTGCACTCTTTGTGCCCAGAGGCAGAAGCTTAGACAGGTAAGAACTTACACAGAGATTTATGTCCTGAGTGAATTTAGGTGCCTACAGGTGTAGGTGTCAGCTAAGCGGGGGGTTGTGGATCACGGTGCCTAAAACGGGGATTGTGGCTGGAGTTTAGGTGCCTAAGGATCTTTGTAGATCAGAACCATAATGCAATTCTGAGATAGAAGCTGAGGGAGGTTGTGGAATCTCCATCATGAGAGCAGGTTAGATGAACACCCACCAGAGATGGTCTAGATTAGAAGTGGGTAAACTATAGCCTGTGGGTCACATCCGGCCCGCGGGACCATCCTGCTCAGTACTTGAGCTCCTGGCTGGGGAGGCTAGCCCCCGGCCCTCCCCTCGCTGTTCCCCCTCCCCTCGCAGCCATACCACCGCATGGGCAGCGGGGCTGCGAGCTCCTGCTGCTCTGAGCAGCACGGTAAGGGGACGGTGGAGGGGTTGGGTAGGGGGTCCCGGGGGCAGTCAGGGGACAGGGAGCGGTTGGATGGGGCGGAGGTTCTGGGGCGAGGCGGTCAGGGAACAGGGGGGGTTGGATAGGGCGGGGAGGGGGTGGATAGGGGCTGGGGGGCAGTCAGGGGACAGGGAGCAGGGGCGGTGGATGGGGGTGGCATCCTGGGGGGGGGCAGTTTGGGGCGGGGGTCCTGGGAGGGGGTGGTCAGGAGACAAGGAGCAGGGGGGGTTGGATGGGTCAGGGTTTCTGAGCGGGGCAGTCAGGGGACAGGAAGTGGGAGGGGGTAGATAGGGGGCAGGGGCCAGGCTGTTTGGGGGGCACATCCTACCCTACTCGGCCCTCCATACAGTTTCGCACCCCAATGTGGCCCTCGGGCCAAAAGGTTTGCCCACCCCTGGTCTAGATAATACTTAGTCCTGCCATGAGTGCAGGACACTGGCCTAGTTGACCTCTCAAGGTCCCTTCCAGTCCTACGATTCTATGATTAGTGGGGGTTAAGGTGGAGAGGACATACTTGTAATTTAAGGATAAAGCACATTACAGGGATCTTGTAATATCCCCAAACCAAGTGTTATAAACTCAGGACATACAGAACTAAGGTTACATTTAAAATCAATCGGATCCCATTGATCCGAGACACTGACCTTTCTGTCTCTCCATCTCAGATTGCAGAGCCTCTAGAGGGAGAAAAGAGGGAGAGGTGAGACTTCCCCCTGTCGTGTTTATGGGGATAAACTTAATATTGTAACAGATACTGACCTTTCTCTCCCTCCCATTCAGACAGCAGGGTCTCTAGAGAGAGAAAAGGGCGAGAGGTGCTTCATCAATCCACAGATTCCAAGGCCAGAAGGGACCATTGTGATCACCTAGTCTGACCCCTGCATAACACAAACCAGTGGGTTTCCCCACAATAATTCCTAAAGCAGATCATTTAGAAAAACACCCAATCTTGATTAAAAACTGCCAGTGCTGGAGAATCCACCATGACCCTTGGCATGGGCAGTGGGTATAATAGGCTAGGAGAGGCTCAGCCTCCCCTGCCGCTGCCACGGCCACCGGACCCCCGTTTGTAGGGTTTTGGGGGGAAGTTTTTGATTTATTACACCCCATGCAGGTTCAGGGCGGCTCAGGAGGTGGGATGTGCTATTCAGATTCCTGGGTTCAATCAGTAATTTCCTTGGACTGGAGATTACTGAGGAACCCAGGAAGATGAGTAGCACATAGCACCTCCTCAGCCAACCCAGAACCTGCATGGGGCATAGCAAAAGCTTCTTCCAGACCTGAGAGATGTTTTTCCCCAGGCAGCTTGTGGTCTGGGGAGGGCACAGCACAGCTGCCGCTGACCCGGGGCAGCTCCAGGCAGGTGGGAGGAGAGGGCTCGGGGCTTCAGTCGGCCTCCAGCCGAGGGAGGGGGCGCTTGGGGCTCCTCCAGATGTGGGGAAGGGACGGGGGTCTCGGGGCTCTGGCTGTGGGGGGGGCATGCGTGAAAGAGGTGGAGCTGGGGCTAGCTTCCCCAAAGGGGGGCTCCACCCGCCGCCCCTCAGTAAATTGTTCCAATGATTAATTAATAATTAATAATACCCGTCAAGATTTCACCCTGTTGTGTTTATGGGGATAACTCTACTGCCAGCTAATGTGATGGGCCCAGACACTGACCTTTCTCGCTCTCCTTATCCGATCGCAGAGTTTCTAGAGGGAGAAAAGGGTGAGATTTCACCATTATGTTTAAGGCACAGTTCCTGCTATTAATGTAATTGTGCTGTAACTATAGATTCATAGGGTTGAAAGGGACCTCAGGAGGTCATCTAGTCCAACCCCCTGCTCAAAGCAGGACCAATCTCCAACTAAATCCCCAAATGGCCCCCTCAAGGATTGAACTCACAATCCTGGGTTTAGCAGGCCAATGCTCAAACCCTCCCCCAATGAAAGTGAGGCAGACAGACTGACAAACAGGACACACAGACAGATCTGTCTCAACATCCCTGCAGCCAGCATCCCCGCTGCCTGGGCCCTGTCACACTCCTGTCTAATCTGGCTATTGAGGAGGATAGTGGGTTGGGGTGGGGGGAGAAGGTCTCTTTTTTTGTCCAGTTCCTTGTCTGCTCCCCACTGTGCCCATCCCCTGAACAGCTCCAGCTCCTTCTGACCCTCTTCCCCCGCCCCATCTCCTGACCGGGGGGATGGAGGATGGAAGTGAGTGATGGGACTGGGGCACTGACCTGGGCTGGGAAAGGGACAGGGTCTGATTGGCTCCATTCTAGGCCAACTCCTGACCCTGTGGCAGGTGCCTGTCCCCTGGTCTTAGTGATACATGGGAACAGCTCCCCCTAGGGCCTGTGTATATGGGGGTGTCCCAGCTAAGAACAGGGTGGAGAGACCTTTCTTTAGCTGGGTGCTCAGGTCAGCAGGAGCCAGGGAGGGGAGTGTGGATGGGCCCCTATAGATATCGCCTCTAAAATCAGCTCTTCCCACTGGGAGCTCGTCCCCTTGATGTGTCAGCCCTGGGGTACCAACACTGCAAGAAATGGAGGTAGCGTCATATCTATCAGTCACTGCTGAGAACAGCCTGAGTGAGAATATCTTATGCCCAGTGTGAGCAGCGTCTCAGACCAGCCGTGCAAGTCCTGGGTGTGTTTGTGTTATTACAGCATCCTAGCCTCACAGCTCACCAGTGCAGCTGGTGCAGAGAATTCTCTGAAAGGCCCAGGGAACAAGGTAGTGACAGTTCATTGTTCTGATTGTTTAATGCTTCAAAATGAGCCCAACAGAGTTGTCATAACTATAAAGGGAAGGGTAATAGCTG